CTTGAAATCTGTGCTATCGCAAAGCTTTTCTGGAAAGTATTTTTAGCCACACTTGTCGGTTATGAAGCATATGGGGTCGTGAGAGCAGAGATCACTCAGTTAGCAAGTAATCAATAGTCTCTGCATTGTTTAACCTTTGTACTTTTACGACTAAGCTCATTGATCGACACACGCCCTTAATATAAGTTTCCACACCGTATGCATATAACCTCTCTATTGTCTGGGGGGGGGGGTCTCGTCAAGTCTTTTTAGTTTAGCAAGACAGTACAGATTTTATTGAGTCAAACGTAGGATTTAAGTCATACTATTTAAGTCCGAGATACTAGATATGATTACCATTCACTACGTTTTATAACTGAAAAGATAGCGGGACGCCCTTCACAACACTGCTGATCAGACTGGAAGAACGGAAGACGTACAAGCATGGAGACGGCAGTCAGCTGTATTATAACTGGTACGTGGTTGCAATTGTATTAAAGTATGGAGGATTTGTTTCGAAAATAGAATATGTTCTTCTACGAAAAAAGGTTGGAGAGAAGTTCAGAGAAATTTGATAATAGCTCTATAACACTGATAATGTGGTTGCTAAGTTAAAGGATGGTTTTTATCAGCTGGTAACGGGTTTAATAGAATTGCACTGAAAATATCTGAATTCTACTTTGTAGTTCATTTTGATAACTATCTTAACTTCCACTTAGATTATTAGATTCGATTTTTCCTTATCTTTGATAGCACCTTTGCTAGTAGTTATGGACCTACCATCTGTTAAAAGCTTCTACTTGTAAAGTGTATATTCTGTCAGTTAGTAACAAGTGTTGTGTGCAATGTGATAGACGTACAAACTAAACATAAACAAGTCGAACAAATCACACGCTGCTGTTGCTCGAATGAACTTGCCATTCTACGTTAAACGGACGCGCGTAAACTAATAAGGTGAATAAGGAATTTACTTAATGCCTTTATTACCCTTATGCCAAAGAGTCAGTCGATAATTATTAAAGTCAGATTTTATTGGTGCTCTATAGACCTACCCCCACTTGATGCACTGTTGGAAAGGTATACCTTTATGGCAGAGAAGTCTATAAACGGGTAGCTGACTTCTGGCTTCAAACTACCATGGCCCGACCGTATGTCATATTCCACCACTTCCATAGTTCTCACCTTTCCTTTTTCCCCACCTTTTTGTCTGTCTCTTTTACTTCTGTGAGACACCCTTCTGTTCCTCCTCTCGACTCTTTGACAGATGCTTCTACCTTCTGTGAACCCAAAGCCAACTAAAGGGGTAATGATGACTATCATAAAGATTGACATTTGGTGTCGTGCACCCTACGCAAGTGACTTGACTCTCTTAAATTGGTCAGCAGATGAAGCACGCGTGAATCAGGTCGCACTACAACATCATATGACTAATTTGAGCAGAAAAAAGTTTTGAAAAAGCCAGAGAGCAGTTCTACCTTTATTGTCAAATCGTATACATCTAAATGAGGCTAATAATTTAAACAGAAAAATCTGCGATTGCATAGAAAAGAGAGGAGGAGGTAGGATGTGGATTAGAGATTGGGAAGAATGTTGAGCTGAAACCACATGACAGCAAGTACAGTATAACTCGAGACCGGAGTAGAGGTTTCTGTGAGCGTGAGAAGTTCCTCCGACCTCGTTATGGGCCAATAGACGACCTCAATAACTTCACCCTCCTCCGGATTGCCACCGCCTGCTGAAGGATCAATGTCAGAGTCGTCTACTTCCACGTAGAAAACAGTTGCTGTCGTTCCGCTCAATCCAACGCTAGCACTAAAGTACGATAATAGGGCAATTTGAAGTTAGTTTAACAATTCGGGCCAAAAAAGGGAAGATGAAAAAAGAACAGTCAAAAAAACTGAAAATGATAGATTTTGACATGGTGAACTTTAATTAGAAGCATAGGCACCAGGAGCATCAAACTAGCACTGATTATACCCGCTGTTAAGAATGGATGAACTACAGAGTAAATAGATAAGTAAAAAAGAAAATCCGAGTTCTTCAAGACCAACAAACTATAAAACCAAACGCATATTATATCGTAAATGAAAGTGCAGAACAGTAAAGAGCACAGTATAAAAAGTTGGAATGTTCATGTGTACCAAGCAACTTCTACTACTAAAAAGTTAAAAAACTTACGAAACAGTGGTTATTTTCCTCAGCCTTGATGGATCAACACGATAACCACATTCCTCGTGAAGTTCAATAGAGGCAATTTCCTCCAGACTTTTGTCCGCCTTATCAACGATTCCAGCACAGAGTTCTAGCGTCTCGCCCAAAGAAGTGGGAAGGACAATTGGTTTCCCATCTGTTCCAATAGGAGTGTGTGGTGCAGAGGCAACAGATGCTGCATTTTCACCCTCCTGCTTACGTAATTTAGCATAGTAAACAACTTAAAAGAAATAGAAGTAAAAAATACTAAATAGTCTTTCAAACCGGGTCGAAACTGTTTCACAAAGACAAAACACTTTCGTTCTCTATGGTACAGTAGAATTAATACACTAGCAATTTCAGAATTAAAAGAATATTATTGGCAAACCCATTGTGTGCCTTTACACCATCCCAAATACGATTGACACCATTCTGATCAGCAAAATATTTTTAAATTGTTCACAGTACCTTTCGATAATGAATACGGAATGGCGTAATGAAGTTGGATTTTTCGGTAAGTGCAGATACCTCAACGTTTTCAATTAAGGCCATTGGTGAGCTACAATTTTTAAAACGAGCAAATTGCGCCAAATGAGTAGAGGAAGGATAAAATGAGCGAACATGATATGATTTATAAATCAACCAGGGTCGAAACAGCATTAGTTAACGAACATTAAAATTTCCATTTACTGTATAGGATACAATGGTATAAGCTAGTAATAGAAGCAGATCAGCCAATAGCGAACTGGCAAAAAAGGAGCCTTGCGTATATCAGATTGATTGGTTTTCTCAATGCTATATAAAAGAGTTTTGTAGGTCATTCAAATTATGACTAGCAGTAATCGATAAGTAAGTCATTTTAATTTTATTTTTTAGATAAAAGGAAATTAATTCATTTAAAATCGTTATATTCAAGCTTTGCGAGTTTCTTTCCAGTATGGGAAATAAATCAAAATCAGATTTCGTCAATAGAACTCGAATCACTGCGCTTCATGAAATTAGCTATTTAACTAAAAGTTGAAAGGTTTATTACTTTCTCTAGACTATAACCAAATGAAATGGGAGACTATTCTGGATGATCAGAGTTTGCTACAAGATTAACAGCAACGCAGGGGAAATACGTTAAGTTACGAACGTCGATGGCAAGCCACTTAAACTTGTTAGCAAAAATTTAGACTTACATGCATAAAAGCATATTGTGAGGCGTTAATCATACCCTATGCCAATATTTCGACGAAATGATCGGTATCTACTTCGGTATCCGGGTACAAACATGAGATCATACAACTAATCCGCCTAGAGATATTGCAAACCAGACGACATCCCCAGTTATTACCCCCCCCCTTAAAAATCGAGTGCCTACAAAGTTATCTTCTTGCTCACTAGGCTTTTTGACAAAAAATATTTCATTTCTTAACTGTTATAAAAAATCTAAAGTATGCATAATTAAAGAGGATATTTATATTTCACATATGCGCCTGAGAAATTTTATTATTTGAAATAAAAAGGAGAATTTAATAGGCTGAACAGAGACTATCGTGAAATATATTCCTCATTATAAACAATTACGTACACTTTTTAATTAATGGTAGATAGATAACTTGAATATTTCTACTTCCTTGTCGGGTTTGAATAAGATCTTTGTTTTTTATACCTTAAAACGTGTGCTTTTTACACCAAAGACAAATATAAGTGTCGAATTAAAGAATATGATACGTTGATTACATGCAAATTACGAAAGTTTTCAGAACGCAATAAGCTATCAGAACTAAGGCCTGCACCAACTTTATATACACCAATTAAAAATTAAAGAACGATCTGCTTTGCATGGATTAGGGCTTGATTTTATAAAATTTATTAAAAATAAACCTATTTTTTTCGCACTCGATTTTGAGCGATTCAACGGCCGCTTCATTTGAATTGTCCAATCGTTATTTAAATCGTGCGCCTCTATGCTAAATTCTTGATGACTTCATTCGGCTCCATCGTTTCCGTTCAAAAAAGTATTGAATTGCAAAAGGAGTTACTGCAATCAACCGATAACAATATAGTTAAGATAACGGGAAGACTCCCTGAAGAGGATAAGTGTGTCTACATCATTTTGTCCACTATTATTTTGCTCGCATATCACGATCTTTTTCTTTTAGACCGAAAATCTCCGAAGTTAAAAGTACAATATCGCGTTCGAATGGTACTCCACCCACAGTACTTTCTCGTATTGAACCCAATACTCGCAGTAACGATGATGTAAAATTTACATAATTAGTTGAAACTAATCTTCAAGCAATTTCTTTTATTGATTTTAATTATTTAATATCATTTATGCTTTTTCAATGTGTTTTAAGAATTTTAATACCTTCTGGTATCTATTTTATTGTGTTACTTTAGGTTTCAATCCAATCCTCGGTTGTTCGAGTAGGTGAAAAACGAACTCGTTCAGATGCTATCAAGGAATATAAAAATATGGATCAAGAACGGTATATTTTGTGTCGCATTTATTGCCTTTTTCTTTGAAATTCTTTATTTCGAATCAACTATTGCACCTAGTACTCTTTTCTCCACAGTGGTCGTCGAATGTTTGGCATTTTGCAACAGACATTGAGCCAATCAAAAGCGGAAACTAATGAGATAAAGCGAAAACGACGCCTCGAGATTGAGTCTCGGATTGAAGCCAAAGCCGCTGAAGAGAAGGCTGCAGCCAAACAGGAACGAGCCGACCTTTTCCGCCAACGCAAAGCCCAGCAACTTGAGTTGAGTCTACTCCAGCACAAAGCGCACTTGATGAACGAAGTTTGTTTTTATCCCTTCGTGTTATTCAACCTGTGTCTTTGGCTTACGCAATAATTCTTTGTCTTTTTTATCAGTTTGAGATCTGGAAAGAGGAGCAGATGAAAATGGTAGATTTTATCCGTACTGAACAGGGTCCCCCAATATTTTATCGTCCAAAAGTTTGTAATAAAGAGAGTGAATCGCGTAAATCTGCTACCAAAGCAAAGATTCTTGGTAGGTATTCTTAAGTTATTATTATATTATAATAATTTATTATTATTTATTAAGTTATATTTATATAATAGATTGACACATTGTATCCATCAATCTCGCTTAAAATTACTAATTGTAAATATTGGTGATTATCACTTATGAAGTTCTTTTTGGCTGACTTTGATAAAAATAGGTATTAGCCATTTCAATAAATTTAATGAACGAATTTATAATGAATAAACCTCGATATTGTTGAATGAGTAGCTTGTTGGTTCCGAAATATTTAGCTGACTGTTTTCTCAACTTAAAAGTCATTCATGATTCGTGGATTTTTTAAATCAAATTTTTTTGTCTTAGTAATCATTTTTCTAATAATATTTGGAGTTTTGAATTTTTTAAATTGAAATAATTCATGAATAACCATAAAGTAAGTTTGCTGGAAATCAGTTACATTTCCTATACTCTTCTAAATATTTTCTATTAAATTAAATTGTTTTGCTATTGGCAATACCGTTATACTTAGCAAAGTTCAAAGCTTCCGAATTCTCTCAAGTTTAAGGCTATTTCTAATAATGGCAATTGTTTCTCTTTAGTTGTTTATATTCTCAATAATGCTCATTCACGTAGAAGATTTTGTTGCGAATTACATTGTGCTTGCGTTCATTGCAGAGAGCTCTAGATTTCTGTTTTTTCCATATTGACATAACACTTTATTGGTGCTCTTCTCAGAGCTCATTGAAGATCGTCGACGTTTTCTGGAGGCCGAATATGAGGAAATAGCCACAAGTCGCAGAAAGCGTCTTGGCATCACCTCCAATGATTTGGAGGAAACCGGAAAGTCAGCAGGCAATTCCTCCGGACCCAAGGCAGATGGGGATAGTGGTTCACCTCAGCGATTTGTTCACATCACAACAGCAGCCAAATCAACAGGCAACAACAGTATCCCAGCTGTGGACTTTGAAGACCTTGTTGATGAACCAGTTCTGATGGATGAGGATGTTCCCTCTGATCGTCGAATTGTCTCCACTGTTGGGGAATAAATCGAGTCATTGCAGCCACCCCCTTTCCGTACCCCATACTAACATTATGTCATTATAGCGTGGTTTTTTGTAATAAAGTCTGTTGTTTTTTGTGAGGCCTACCTTTTTATTCTGGTGTGTTGTGTGCGTTTTGGAGTTTACCTAGGTGTTTTTTATATTTACCGCGACTGTGTTGATTTTAAATCAATAATTTACTTATTATATTGTTTCATCTGTTGAGTGTTTTACAAATTTCAATTCTTACTTCTTTAATGCAGGAAAATGCAATCGTATGCTATTTGATTATTTATTAATTCAATTTTGTGGTTAAATTCTTTTTCAATGTATTAAGGGTGTCGCGTTGGGGGGACGAACTGTCACTCAAATACTGGGGAGATAAATGCCAAAACATATTACAGGTGCAAATAAGAGAACCCAAAAGTCGGTGAATGCAAAATTAGTCAAAATGTGGTGATTGTCTATAGCAATGGAGTTTAATAGCTACATAGTCTTTTTGTCCAAAGAGCATTCTTGTCAAATGTAAGTGAAGGGACTTGATGGTGGTGCGTGTGGGCTTCACGAGCTCTATATTTGGTGGTGTATGACCAACCGCTGTCTCTCAACAGACGTTTTTACTTTTTAGCTGGTTTATGCGGTGAATTTGCCATCTTGGTTTCCTCAACTTTAATCGTTTGGAATTTAAGTGGCGAGAACGTAGCTATTCCTTTCCACCAGTCCTACGGCATTTGATTGCTTACTGTTTGATTGATTGTTTCGAATGACCTGTGCTCATTTACTCGACTACTGGTAGTTAGTATTCGAAAACACTCAACTTTATTCTCCTCCTTTCAATTTATTCTATTCATAATATCAATATTATTATTGACGTAGTGTAAGAAGTCTATTTCTTCATATCTCAAGAGAGAGAGAGGGAGAGAAGCAATAATTTATTTCATTGAAGCGTCCTCTGATTGTGAAAAATGATTTCCATTTAGTTTACTTCGAGTGCTTCAAAGCTCGGATGCCTCTATATTTACCTTTTCAGATGACGGAGGTTGGAGGAAGTAATAGTAACAGTGGGAGTATGCTTCCGGCACACCTACTTGAACGCCTTGAAATGAGGGATGCTCAACGGAGGGCTGCAGCAGCCAGTTCTGAAACGACAGAAGCTAGAAAGCGTGGAGAAGCATCTGGTGAGCATATCGTCCTGCCTCCGTTGAATCTTCTTAATTCGGAAGAGGAGGAACCGATTTTTGCCTCTCCAGCCCACAACACCCCCTCTTATTTTCTGGCGAATATGACGAGAGCTAAGGCAATGCTACTTCAGCGAATTGACCGGCTGGAGGAAAGGTGCCAAGTCGCAGAGGGTGCACCTGAACTCACAGAACGCAATAAGGTTTGTTGAAATTTATGTCTTTCTGCTTTTAATTATTCAGAGAAGTGGATAGCCTGACTACAGCCGCAAGAAATTAGTCTGGAAAAATGTTGGACCATTTTGGTTCATAGAATGGGTTAACACTGAATTTGTTATCAACATTGAGATTAGTATTCTGAAATGCCTTTTTGTTTCGACTACATTTTGTCGTTTTTAAGACGTAAAACAGCCGGTGCTGTAAGCCCTTGATGCAACTGCACCAAGGGGGGCAATAATCCTGAAGTCTGTTGTTATCATGTGAAAGGCCGTAATAGGATGTCAGTGTTACTATTTTTCGCTCAATTTATGAATTTCACTGCTTTTTCTCCACAATTTTGCCCTCTGTTTTCGAAGTAGATGTTGGATGATCTGTTGGATCAAATTGAAGAACTGCAGCGTTGGTTCTCGGAGTCATCACCTCATCTCAAGCCATTTGATGTCCAACAGGCCCGTCGAAATGTTGATGTGAGTTTTGAAAGTTCTGGAATGTTTTATTGTTTATTTTCTTAAATAATTCCTATTTCTACAAATAGGAGAATGTAATAACATAGGTGTTCATTTTTAAACCTTAGCTATTTACCCTTTCTTTACACGTTAATATTTCTTTATATCAAATGGCAGGCATTTTGATAGTTTGATCAATTTTTTAGATGACTTCAGGCTTCACAGAGGGGAAGGAACATCCAAGTGAGAAAAATTCGAGATGGGGGGGGGGCAGAAGAGTGTTTCAAAGATGTAAAAGAGACAGACATAAGGGTAGGAAAAAGGTGAGGTGAGTACTGTGGAAGTAGTCGAATATGACACAGTGGGGTGATGGTAGGTTGAAGTCAGAAGTCAGTTGCCGGCTAATAGACTTTTGCCGCATGAATATACGTTGCCCAGGGTGCACCACGTGGAGGTAAGTCTATCGCGCACGTTATTATCAATTATTGCATTGTTGATTTGACTATTGATCTGTGAAAATTGGTTAAATCATTTCCATAGAAGTGCAGTTAATTAAACGCAATTCTTGCCCAAGAGTTGGGTTAACCCTTTCACTTATCCGCCTATTTAGTGGTATCGAGGTCTTTATGCTTTGTATATAAGTTCGTGGAGATGATGGTCTTGCAAGATTACAGTTCAATGGTCTCTAAATTATATATTCCCTAAGATATAGTCATTCTAAAACGGGCAAACTCTCTCCTATAGTGTGAAAGAAAGCATTGTCTGTTAGTGAATGTTCCTATTAGCAGAGAAGAGAGAGAGAGGGCGGTGGCGCCAGGCCCTTAACTAATAAAATAAAGTAACACGCAGAACGTAGACTGTTAGTTTACTTGCTCTGATTTCAGGATCTCAAAATTCGTTTTCAAGAATTGCGCGCTTCCATAATGCCAAAGAGGAAGTTCAAATTTGGAGCTAGTGCTGGGAGGAAGCCCCTAACAAAGTCCGCAGCCTCTGACAACGCATCTATTGAAATCAACAAGGCGGCTCCTAAGAAACCAGCCGATAATCTTCATCCCACTCCAATTTCTTCCGAATTCTCCCTATCCGGACTCTCAAACCGTCACGATCTCCGTTTACCGGCTATTGATAGGGAATCAGACAAAGACTGCCTTCGTGATCAGTCTTTATGTCTAACAGATTTAACTGACTGTAAAGTTACAATAACTTCATCTTGTGGAAATTTGATGGCCTCCCGTCTCTCAAAGTGCCTAATCAAAATCCTTCGACCGGTAGGCAGTTCTGTAATGCTGCAGGACTGTGTGGGGTGTCAATTTGTGCTGGCGTGCAGGCAATTGAGAGTTCATCGAACACATGGAAGTAGGTTCGATGTGTTTGTCGCTTCAGCACCCATTATTGAAGACTCCAGTGATCTTCTGGTTGGACCTTGGGATGTCGGTGGAGATGAATGCTTTTCAGGAGTTCTGGGAGATAAAAATCACTGGAAAGAGGTTCAGGATTTCAGCTGTCCCACACTAGTCGCGGCGAAAGCATCCGAGTCGCCCAATTGGAGTCTGTTGCCTATGGAGGAATGGCTTAAGAGTTGAAAAATTGAGGTACATGTGTCCTGCTACTGATATCCGAAATCAGTAGGTGTTATTATTTTTCGGGGAGTTACTTCATATTGCACTAGTACTTATATAAAATATAAAAAAACAACACTATTATTTTTCGAGTAGTATTTAAAATTGTAAGCGGGGGTTGATAAATCTACATTTGATCAGAATCCGGTGGAATTGGTACTTTTTTCATAAGACAGTGTCGTGATTCCAGATTTAAACCTTAGGAACACATCGGCATGATGTGCCACTATTGCTAGTAGTCGCCAACAAGATGAGAAAAACGAAAATCTGAAATGTAATATTATTTATCACAGTAATTCCAGTGCAGTTTCACAAAATAATGGAATGCTACTCTGACAAAGCGCCCTAATTAATGTAGGCACATCTGAGGTTATTACACGTTTTCGACCCAGTCCATTGTGATCCTAACTTTATTTAAGGTAGTTAGGGACGTTAATTTGAAATTAGGATAACATGAGTATTCAAGTAAGTTATTATAGACAAATAATGCCTATAGTCTATGGTCCAAATTCTGATAACTGCTTTGTGTGAAATCATATCATAAATAAACCATCGGATGTAAGCCCACCAATTTTCGAATTTGCGAAATGCATATTAATGACGTAATTCATGTCCAGATATAATAAATAAAAAAAATAATTTTATTCTTGACATAAGACATTTTTCGAACAGAATGAAAAAATCTTAATTCATTCGCACAATTTGCAACACATTATATAAATATGATGATCTCGAAAGTCAACAACTTCATGTCTGCAACGGACGCTTATTTTGCCTGATCCCATAATTAATTTTCATCAGTTTAATGCCCTATAAATTTGGAAAAAAACATGCAAAAAGTCCATTTTTATTTTAAATGGATTTAATCTAAAATAAGGAGCGTACAGTTTTGTAGATAGCCAATGTTTGTTAAACTTAATTAACATTAAATACCTACATTAAACGCTTAAAATTTATAATTAACTATTACTCATCTTAACTGTAAATTCCTTTAGAACTTCATTACAGGATTACCTTAAATATTTGTTGTTTGTAATATTGCTGAGAGCGTGCCTTTTTCAACTTCTTTAGCATCGTTTCTTTGCGCAATGGCTGATGAAAAGATTCCGGTTTTTCCATCTCGAATGTGAGATCTTGTAAATGTGTTGAAATTTCTCACGTTTATATGAACTGATAAATGCAGTTTCTTATATGATTTCTAGGGCTTCTACAACTTTGAGAAACCAATTGGTTGGGGCACAGATGGGCTTAAATCTCCTCAAAAAGAAGTCCGATGCCCTTAATCTACACTTTCGTAAAATTGTGCAGAAAATTATGCAAAAGAAGGAGACAATGGGTGATGTTATTCGTGACGCGAATTTCTCTCTTACTCACGTCAAGTTTGCTTCGCCTTCAAACATTATGGCACATGTCATGCAAAATGTAACAAAAGCTCAAGTAAAGGTGAAAGTGAGCTATACGAATATTGCTGGTGTGAATTTACCTGAGTTTTCCATGTTCTATGAGGGATCTGATAGTAAGTTCTTCAAGTGATTGCACATCGTTTTCTTTTTTAAATATTATGCGGCATTTATTAGTGTTTTAGGTGATAAATGGGCATTTTTATATCAATGACTGTTAATATTCTTTCTCTTTAAGACTACGAATTGACCGGATTATCGGGAGGTGGTCAACAGATCGATAAATTAAAAAAGACATATAGAAAAACGATAGAACTTCTAGTTGAAATAGCCTCTCTCCAATCATCCTTTTTCATTCTCGATGCCGTTATTAAAACCACTAATCGTCGTGTCAATGCAATCGATCATGGTGAGTCAATTCAGATTTATCCTACTTGTTATTATTCAATGTGTGTGTACCACACTTTCCATTAATTTAGTATTTGTCAATATTTAATAATTGAAAATAATGGTATCGCTATAATTCACTCCTATTTTATTTGAATGAACTAATGTTCTTATTTTGTAGTGGTCAGTTTATTTCCGTTCAAGTAGTCTTCTTTGTCCAACGTTTACTTTGCAATTTGAAAGTACCCACAGTTATTGCCTTCTCTAATGGGGAATGCTATTGGTATTTTTATACGGTGATTGCGCTTGTGCACTTTATTCTGACTGATTGAAACACTTATTTATTTATTTCAAATGGCAGGCGTTTTGATAGTTATCATTAGCCCTTTAGCTGACTTCGGGCTTCACAGGGGGAAGGAACATCACAGTAACAGAAAGTCGAGGGGTGGGGAACAGAAGAGTGATTTACAGATGTAAAGAGACAGACATGAAGGCAGAGAAAAGGTAGGATGAGTACTGCGCCAGAAGTCAATCGCCAGTTAATAGACTTTTTCGCCGTATAAGTATACGTTGCCCAGGATGCACCACGTGGAGGTAAGTCTATCACGCACCCCATGATTGAAACATAGTGAGAGCCGTCTTAAGACATTAATTGCAGACTTAATTGCACTTGCTTCCCTCACCATTT